GCTATATCTCCAAGGACCGAAGGTCCATGGACCTCCTTATCATCTTAACAGACTGTCTTTGTTAAGATGACCAGAATACTGAACACAGACATGTTTTAAGACATTTTGAAAGTTACATAACACTCCCAAATCATCTGCTAAAATCCATTTATTCTACATCATATCTGAACCCTGAAAATCAACATTGTGTACAATGCAATTATTGATTAAAATGCCAGTAAAATGTGAAGGAGTGTGAAAAGGGTTTAAAATGTCTATTTTCGTTTTTGAGGGTGATGGGCCTGCTGCTCTACCTCCTGCATGGTTCTTGGGAAATATATTAGCTTTCATTTGGCACCACATTTATCTTCATCACCATTAGTGGAATAAAAGGTAGCCACTGGGCGAGAGTGCGCTGGCTTTGGGATTGGAATGGATCCCTTCAACAAAGAGGTTTTGGGGGCAGAGAGGCCGCAGGACTCCACTTGGAGTGGAAATTTTTTTCCACTAAAAAATTTGCAGACGAGCATTACGGAAGTGGTATGAAATGATAGCAGAACTAAACAGGGAATCTTCGGATTATATCATCATGCTTATCTTGCAGAAAAAAAGGGGAACGCTTCATCCTTCCTTTTTCCTGAATCAGAAATCAGCTGTGAAAGGACACACTGTTGGGCCTTGAAAGTACTCTTTGGGTTGTATCTCAAAAGTTACTGTTGCTGTATAAACGTTTTTGCAATGCATGGACATCGCTGTCTGAGAATGTACCTGAAAAAAATGCAGTTAGGCTACACATTCATATTGGATCCCTGTTGTATGGTGCTGTACCATACCGGTGTAGTTGTTTATCCATTATAAAGATTTTATCAAGGCTGAGACATCACAACTTTTCATCATGCCTTTCATCATGAATTCCTGTTCGTCTCTATTTTACGACATTGTAAATTCTCAATAATTACATTCCAAGCTGTTGTGCCACAAACTAATTTCAACTTGAGATCACGCAAGGTATGTTTACATGCACTAATTTTAATAAGTCTGAATGAATCCAATTTGATTTCAGATTCTATTAACCCTTTTTGCAATCCAATTTTCGTCACATTTTAGTTTACATATGCATTTTGAACAAAACGACAGCACAGTGCAAATATTTTGTAAATATTCAGTCTCCTCCAGTTCAGAAGACTTAATTTGAGCTGTCAAATCAATTAACAGATTATTATAATCAATTCAATATTCAACAGATTATTTTGGTTCCTATAGACATGGCTCATGAAAGCACCTGAATTGAATTGTGTCCAAGCAAGCATCCCATCCCAAGAGCTAGAGATTATCAGTCTATTGTATGCTACAGGATGGACAAGATCAGTACTTGTACACCTGAGGGCACAGGACAAATAGCCAGGGCTTAATGAGTGGTAATATTCAGTAAGAAAGACGAAGACTACAGAAGAGGAGAGAGCCTGCAGGTAAAAGTGATAGGTAGTGGGATTAGCTCAAGTGATTGATGACCAGCAATCTGCTCATTAGGATAGCCGTTAGCTCTGCTCTAGCAACTGAGCATTACGATAGCTGTACCAGCACAATGATTTATTGCTGATTTACTGCTGGCTGCTCTAACATAATGAATGAAGTCATTTTTACCTTTCAGGGTTTGATGTTACTTCTAAACCACCATGGCAGATTACTTTTGACATTTACTCATACTTCTATATAAATGTTAAAGCAGAAAGTATGTAACTGTTAAATATAAAACAACAAATACTAAATGACTCATACACTGTAAAAAGTGTTTTGTCAGGTCATTTAAAGCAATCTAAATGAACCAAGTTTTATTAAAGTGAAATTTATTTTATTATAACTGAATAATGGGATACTTTAAGGGTTCAATCAAAACCCTTAAAATTCCGAAAAAAGTGACCATTAACGTAACAAATTTTCACTGTTGTTACAGTATGGTGATGCACAAACTACCTCTCAGATACCTCTGTCTTTTGTAGCAGTAGACAGATGTCCAGATCTCTCAAAATATATTATTAAGAAAGAAAAAAAAAGATTGAGAATGAGATTGTACTCTTGTTTTGAATTTTAAAAATAAATAAAATAAAAATAAAAATAAATTCTTTGTGATTTAAATTAAGGCATCTAGGGCTATGTTTAAACAAACAAATTGCATATGTGCATGGTACAGTATATGTGCCATTGGCATTATGGAGATGGAAGGTATAACTGCACAAAGGTATAAATGATCTTGAGTTGAGGGAGGAGATAAGCACTAATTGGCAATTAGACCGACACCCTGTTTGAATCCTTGAAAAAGGATAGTCCTTTGTCCTGCTACTTTTGTTTCTTAATCTCAGTGCTCACCAGGACTGAGTCGTTTACCTCTAGGTAGCCAGAAAGAATTATTTATTGTGCCCTCATCCCTACATTCATACGCAGGCATCCACATTCACCTTAAACCTCCCTACACTCTAAAAAATGCTGGGTTAAATATAACCCAGCGCTGGGTTAAAAGGGGACAAACCCAGCTATTGGGTTGTTTTGAACCCAACCGCTGGGTCAAAACAACCCAATAGCTGGGTTTGTCCCTTTTTAACCCAGCATTTTTTAGAGTGTGTGTGTGCATGTGAGTGTAAATATATTTAACATAATCTAAAAGAGGAAAAAAGTATTTCCATTTAAAATCACAAATGACTTTGCATTCGTTTTTCATTCATTTGTAATTCAATGTAAACATGACTGAATTAATTATAACTATTTTTTTTTAATATAGTTATTTTTTGAGATGAATATCTATTAATATAAATTCTTTGAAGGCCCGAAAAACACCAATTTTATATTCCCTGATATTTCCACGTTTTCTTGACTGTGGGAAACCTGTTAAAATAAAAAATGCAGTCTAGCTTGCATTCATTGCTAGAGTTCAGCAAGTTGGCCACTAAAACATGCTTAGCTGGTTAAAGGGTCCTGAGCTAAGTTAGAAGCTCACTATCATACTCAATAATCAGATAAATGTAATTTCCTCCGAGCCGACGGCACTTGTTTTCTATGAGGTGGAAGAAAAAATGTTGTGTTAATGCTGTCAGGTTACTATGGATTGTGATCGTTTCAGTCACTTGCAATAGGCTACCTTAAAACCTGCATCAGTAATCCACAAACATCTAAACATCTTATGAATTCAGATACTTGTTAATATTTTGTTACCTAGTTTTTAAGAGTGAAATCGAACTTGAAATGTACACGCACTGTCTGCAGACAGAAGAGAGCGATTTCCGATTGGACCGCAGCACTACATCTTCCTACTCTTTCTGCCGTATTTATGGTAATAGAAGTACAATTAAAAACTCACATGGTCGGTCATTCATTGTTAGCAACACTTTTGTAGCCCAAGAAAGCTATCAGTAATTATTTAGTCTATTTACAATAGGTTAGGTTCGAAACTTTCCTGAAACAGCTTCTGACAGTTTGTTATTGATAGGTCGATCTCAGATGTCAGGAATTTATTTTATAAAAGATTACACTCTAAAAAATGCTGGGTTAAATACAACCCAGTGCTGGGTAAAATAGGGACAAACCCAGCAATTGGGTTATTTTGACCCAGCGGTTTGGTTAAATGTTTAACCCAACCTTCTGGGTTGTAACCCAACCGCTGGGTCAAAATAACCCAATTGCTGGGTTTGTCCCTATTTTACCCAGCACTGGGTTGTATTTAACCCAGCATTTTTTAGAGTGTACAATGTTTTAAATACGTATAAACATACAATGTATGTATTACGTTTATTTTTCCACTCGGACGCATGTTCTGGACATGGACAGATAAATTAGTCTTAATTATAAAAAAAATATATAATAGTAATAAAGGTCTAAGTAGCATTTGATCTCAGAGCACAAAGTGAACTAATGTAAAAATATGTAAAAATAATTGTGTCGGTGATATATCTGTATTATACAAAATTATTAAATAAGAAAAGAAAACGGTGTAATATGAAGAAATTCTTCCTTTTTTTTTTTTTTTGCTAGCTCCTCTCTCAACTCCAAAGTTTTTGGGACCACCAAATTACTTGTTTTACGGTACTGAAAGTGGAATGTGTGGAATTTGTAAAGCTTCAATTCATCCTGAAGCTACAGCAGTGAGGTCTTTAAAGTGAGAGCGCCCCTATTTGATCAAACTATATCAAGCAATTTGTGTTGTTAACGCTATGTGCAGATGGTCTGTCTAAACGCCATAAACAAGCCAGTACTCTTCAAAAGGAGGAACACTGTTTATTCACGATTCGAAAAGGTGTAATGACATTTTTTCAGTAGCCTATTTTCTGAAATATGTAATTGCCTACTGACATAAACATTTTATTGAAACTTCAGGAGCTATATTTCGTTATTAAGTTAGGAGGACAAGTGCAATACCTCTCGTGAGATTTCTGAAAATTGTACAAAATATTTTGTACATTATACATCTGCACGAGGAGTTTTCAGATGAAAGTTATGCAGCAGTTCTGCCTGGCAACAGGCGTTCTCGTTCATTGGTTTAGGATCATTTGTGCTTCCTTCTTTTAGGGTAACCCAAAAGAGTTTGCTCTTTTTTTTCCACCCCAGACCGCACATTTGTCTCATATATACGGAAACCACATTCGAGTTTATGCATAAATGAATGACTGTAATAAAAACTTCATAAAGTGATTGTGCCATAGGCTAGTACAGTCATAAAGCGTTTAAATAATCGAAAAAGGTGTCTCAGCAGAAAACAATTGTTAACAGAATTTGAATTTGACATGAATAAAACTTTGGGTCCTGAGCGCACTGGGTTTCTCAACGCGACAGTGCATGGGCACCTTGATTTGGGCTATTATACCGCCCCCTACCAATACTACTTCACCAATACACATCTTCAGACCCTTTTACCCCGTCTTTCCACCCCCGACACCCACAACACTAGCAGCCTGCCCCCTTGCACCCCCCCACCGATTCTCCTTGGTCACTCGTCACCCGGCATAGGACCTCCTATTTCCATACTGCTAAAGGAAGAAGCCCAAGCTCGAGAGAAGATAGTTCTTTAAGATTGATCCTCCGCCCTGAGCAGACAGCCTCGCGCTCTCTCACAGGCTCGCTGCTGCTTTGATCTTCCCTTAACAACAGTCACGTCATAGGGGAGTTTTGTCAAGCGGAGCTGCAGCAGAGTTTTAGAGGGTTCAGCAGAGGCAGCAAAGCATCCACGAGACCAGTGTCCGACACGAGATCCAGTTTTCTTACTTTTCGTCACCGCTAAACCTCGGGCACCGCTGAAGACATGGAACACCAGTTGTTTTGCTGTGAAGTGGATACCATTAGAAGAGCTTACCAAGATAGCAACCTGTTGAATGACCGAGTTTTACAGACAATGCTCAAAGCAGAGGAAAACTATCTTCCATCTCCAAATTATTTCAAGTGTGTGCAGAAAGAAATTGTACCTAAAATGAGGAAAATCGTCGCCACATGGATGCTCGAGGTTTGTTTTGGATAATAGCTGTCTTTTTAGTATTAGCTACACAAGTTTGCATCATGATGATTCTGCTCTTGCTCTTTGGACCCCAAGAACTAATAAATGTAAATATGTTTAAATGTAACTTGCGTTCTTCAGCACTGTTATCCATCCCAGAACTATCACACGGAAATATGCTGTCCGATTATTATCGGCGATTTTTTTTCTAGTAAAAATAATGTTTTATTACGACAGTAATATCAATCGTAGACCTGGGACGTTTTCCGTGGTTTCCGCTATCGCATTTTTATTGAAATCGATTATTTTTCCCCATTCATATGTGTCGTTTCTTATTAATCTAAAGAAAATATAAATGAATTTAGATTTTACTTCAATTTAATACCAATGTACACGTATGCATTCTCACTCGTGCCAGTAGCTTATTATACGCCATCTTTGTTGTCGTTTGCTTAAGTTTTTTATATCTCTAAATTCTAAAATGGAAACTTTATTGACATCACTTGCGTAAAGGCGCTGACTAGTTGTCCTTTAAATCACAGGTATAATTCAAACCCCATTTTTGCAAGAAAACGTAATATTTGTATCTTAAACTAGTAAAAATAATGTTTTATTACGACAGTAATATCAATCGTAGACCTGAGACGTTTTCCTTGGTTTCCGCTATCGCATTTTTATTGAAATCGATTATTTTTCCCCATTCATATGTGTCGTTTCTTATTAATCTAAAGAAAATATAAATGAATTTAGATTTTACTTCAATTTAATACCAATGTACACGTATGCATTCTCACTCGTGCCAGTAGCTTATTATACGCCATCTTTGTTGTCGTTTGCTTAAGTTTTTTATATCTCTAAATTCTAAAATGGAAACTTTATTGACATCACTTGCGTAAAGGCGCTGACTAGTTGTCCTTTAAATCACAGGTATAATTCAAACCCCATTTTTGCAAGAAAACGTAATATTTGTATCTTAAAAGTTTTGTTTCAGTTTGCCATACACCTCCTGCACGACGGTCTAAAAATATAATATTTTTCAAGTTTCTAAATTCAATATCGTAATATAAACGGTCGGATTATATTTCCCATCGAATGATTTGGATTTACAGATGTTTAACATTAGATTTGATGCTTTGGAATAATTTATATTAATTTTTGAAACACCCGCTTCTCGCAAATGTCGCATGCTTCTCTTTGTATGTTGGGGCTTTAGAATTCAATTCATTTCGCATCGTTTTTGTCATTGAATTCGAAAGATTTTGCTTTTTTCCAATAAAGCATGCGTTACTCGACATTTACATGTGTTTTAAGTCGAGCGAAACAATTTTTGTATATTTTTAAATATTTTTTGAAAAGATGACGAACTAGAAAATTGTTTCCTGAACCTAGCTTGGACGCCACCTTTTTGCTTCGGAAAGCACCGACCGCTAGCATCAGCAGCAAATTGCAATATTTATACATTGTCCAATACTTTAGATTAGTATTAACTAACTGATTAAGTACTCTTTTTAGCGTTCGCAAAAGTCTCTTTTCTAACTTAACCCTTTCTAGTGCAAATGCACGACTCAGCAGATGCTAAACACGTGGGGTAACTCCAGAAGATGAAAGCATGACAAAACAATTATTTCACTTCGTTTATTTAATTAATGTTCACCAAAATATTAGTTTCTTTCGATTCTTACCGCATATTTAGGGGGGAAAGCAGCCAATTATTCGAGATCTTTGTTTGATTATATGCATACTTTGTTTTCTTTAAAGGTCTGTGAAGAGCAGAAATGCGAAGAGGAAGTTTTTCCGTTGGCTATGAACTACCTGGACAGATTTTTATCTGTGGAGCCCACCAAAAAGACCAGATTACAGCTGTTAGGAGCAACTTGTATGTTTTTGGCCTCTAAGATGAAAGAGACTGTGCCACTAACAGCAGAGAAGTTGTGCATATACACGGACAACTCCGTCCGTCCCAGCGAATTATTGGTAATTATTAAACACTTCATAAGTATACAGCTTGAAACTGTTTTCTTATATTAGATAACTTAAGTCAATTAAAGTCATGCAAGTCACGTAATTTTGCGCAAAGATGTGTACGTGAATGTCTTGGATTAAAAACCTTAACCAGATAGGCTAATTGGATTGGTCTGCAAATGTAAAGCCACCCCTCAGACGTAAATATGAACGCGCATGTTACAAACTTCTTTGTACTCTTTATGTGTCCGCTAATTGAATGTAGGCCTTGCTTGGCTGTGCAATTAATCGACATCGCCATCTAGCGGTCAAAGAGTGTAAAATCGGATATGGAAAATGCGCCTTTATGTAAACTTGGGCCTCTTTATGCCTCCTTCGCAGCAAATGGAACTGCTGGCACTAAATAAACTGAAGTGGGATCTTGCCTCAGTCACACCACATGATTTCATTCATGTGTTTTAAGTCGAGCGAAACAATTTTTGTATATTTTTAAATATTTTTTGAAAAGATGACGAACTAGAAAATTGTTTCCTGAACCTAGCTTGGACGCCACCTTTTTGCTTCGGAAAGCACCGACCGCTAGCATCAGCAGCAAATTGCAATATTTATACATTGTCCAATACTTTAGATTAGTATTAACTAACTGATTAAGTACTCTTTTTAGCGTTCGCAAAAGTCTCTTTTCTAACTTAACCCTTTCTAGTGCAAATGCACGACTCAGCAGATGCTAAACACGTGGGGTAACTCCAGAAGATGAAAGCATGACAAAATTATTTCACTTCGTTTATTTAATTCATGTTCACCAAAATATTAGTTTCTTTCGATTCTTACCGCATATTTAGGGGGGAAAGCAGCCAATTATTCGAGATCTTTGTTTGATTATATGCATACTTTGTTTTCTTTAAAGGTCTGTGAAGAGCAGAAATGCGAAGAGGAAGTTTTTCCGTTGGCTATGAACTACCTGGACAGATTTTTATCTGTGGAGCCCACCAAAAAGACCAGATTACAGCTGTTAGGAGCAACTTGTATGTTTTTGGCCTCTAAGATGAAAGAGACTGTGCCACTAACAGCAGAGAAGTTGTGCATATACACGGACAACTCCGTCCGTCCCAGCGAATTATTGGTAATTATTAAACACTTCATAAGTATACAGCTTGAAACTGTTTTCTTATATTAGATAACTTAAGTCAATTAAAGTCATGCAAGTCACGTAATTTTGCGCAAAGATGTGTACGTGAATGTCTTGGATTAAAAACCTTAACCAGATAGGCTAATTGGATTGGTCTGCAAATGTAAAGCCACCCCTCAGACGTAAATATGAACGCGCATGTTACAAACTTCTTTGTACTCTTTATGTGTCCGCTAATTGAATGTAGGCCTTGCTTGGCTGTGCAATTAATCGACATCTCCATCTAGTGGTCAAAGAGTGTAAAATCGTATATAGAAAATTTATATAGGGCCTTTTTATATCTCCCTCACAGCAAATGGAACTGCTGGCGCTAAATAAACTGAAATGGGATCTGGCCTCAGTGACACCACATGATTTCATTGAACATTTCCTCGCCAAACTGCCTATACATCAGAGCTCCAAGCAGATACTGCGCAAGCACGCCCAGACGTTTGTGGCCCTCTGTGCAACAGGTATGTGTAACTGTTTGTGTTCAGTTTTAATTTGTTCATATTTATTAATGTAAGAGAATATGCCTTAGTGTAAATATTGCCGACCAAGCGCTTTGTAAAGAACATGCATTGAAGAACCTCCCCTTACCTCACCCAGTACTTTGCTATCAGGCGGACTTCTTTATTGCAATGGAAAGAGCCATTTCGCTTGTCCTAATTCCTCCCTCGCAGTTATTGTAAACCAGTGTGAGCCTCTGCAAGAGAGAGGAAGTCTGTTTCCTTTTGTGGTGATTGCTGTGACTGCACCACGGCTCCTGAGAAGCCCTGCCTGCTTCATGACACCACTGCTATGCACGCAGTGCATGTGAACCAAAAAGAGGAAGCTGTTTTCTGATATTTTTCTTGTGAAAAGGGCTTTGTAACCTGATATTTTCCCATACCTAGACGTCTTGATGCCCAGGTCTCTTTGATTGAGAGCATGTTCAGATATTAGGCTGCAAAACCACTTTTTTGTCGCGAAACCTACAGCAGTCAGTTTATCACCTGCTAGAATAAGCAAGTAATACTACTACTCCAGTGTATTCCCCACTCTTTTTGTCCCTCCATTTACATGGTGGGTATCACCGCAGCTCGCTCCCCTTTTATGTTTATGACCTGCATTTCTTTGGGAAGTAGCCTGGGATCTCAGCCAGGGAGAGTGTGGTTGGATAGATACTGGGAAGGGGGTGGGCGCTGGTGAATGAAATGAATGGGCTGGGGTGAAGGCTCCCGTGCCTTTATGCTCAATTTGTCTTGACAATTGCCCTCTCGTCTCTCAGCTAGCAATGCTGGATGACTTCCTATAAGAAAGGCAGTTGTATTTCTCTGTTCGCCATGTGTGGGCGAAGCACAAAGTGAGAGTATAAGGGAAAGAGCCGGCATTGATTTATAAGCTCCGCTTATTGTCCGTTCAGGTTATGAACGCACCGGAGTTGTGTTTTATGAAGTAGGAGATTGTAATATCTTGAAAACCCTAAGATTTCTATGCACTTTTAGCATTAACGTGTGTATAGAGGCATGATTTATGGGACGTTTTGGGAATGAGAAGGCTGCAGTAGGGGGTAGCCTGCCCAGGACCTACAGCAAAGTCCTCTGCCTCCCCCCAAAGGCTTTGAGCCCTGCCGCAGAATGGTGTCGGGCCCCAAATGTCACGGACTGTCCCCTTCCAACCCTGTTCTCATTATAGTTTAGTCATGCTATGCTTCATTATGAGCTCAATCCCAACTCTAGCTTCTGATCCAATATGGCCCATTTTATTCCTCTTATTCTTTGGGCCACTTACTTTTTGGTGGCTTTTTTGAGAAATTCCTGAGTTCCAACCACGGTACGTTTGTTATTTTCAGATGTCAACTTCATCGCAAGCCCTCCATCCATGATTGCGGCCGGCAGCGTTGCAGCAGCAGTGCAGGGGTTGTACCTCAAAAGCAGCGACAGTTGCCTCTCGTCCCAGAACCTCACCAGCTTCCTCTCACAAGTCATCAGAAGCGACCCTGTAAGTGTTCCAACTTCCGTATATCACTCCAGAAGACCCAATATGTCGCTGTCATCGTTGCTAATCTCCCTGTTTCTCTCCAAAGGACTGTCTGCGATCGTGTCAGGAACAGATCGAGTCCCTGCTGGAATCTAGTCTCAGACAAGCTCAGCAGCACAACATCTCCACAGAGACCAAAAGAGTGGAGGAGGACGTGGACCTCTCTTGCACTCCCACAGATGTCAGAGACATTAATATCTGAATGGATCGCTATTCATCTTGTGTGCGATGAATCTCTTCGTCTTTGTTTCTGTTGGGTATGGGCTTTGGCCAAAGGCTTCATGGGACAAATGGAAAACGGGCTCACACCTGCACCCCACCATCCGACCAATACCTCGACAACTTGCCCCTCAGCGCGCCCAAACTGTTGACTGCTGAGCGGCATCCCCTGTGGTTTTGACGATTGGGCTATCGCTGGCCAGGACCACCAGTGGAGGACAGGGAATGAAAGGAAATCTCAATTCTGTCCTTCGGCCCCCCTCTATGTCCTAAGTCAAAAATAAAACAAGCGAAAAAATGATATAGGCTATCTAGGATTTTAAAATTGTATAAACGACAACAGTAGTTGTGACTTGCCCGGACTTGTTGCTGAAAAGACAACGCTGGGTATTTTTATTTCAAGTGTGTCAGAAACTATTTTTGAAAGAGAAGAGACGTTATTTGTATCTTCAATGTCTTTCTCTAGTACCTTGTTACACTTGCTAAGAGTGCTCCCTGCTTTTTCTGCAGCCTAGCCGTGTAAATATATCCCCGCTTGCCATGCCTTTAGTCACTTTATTATAATTCCTAGACAGATTCCCTAACAAGATCCTCTTCTCTTCCAAAATGGTTTATGTAACCTTAGTATATTTTTTACGCATGTATTTTTGTTATGATCTAGAAGGCTGTGGATTGCCAGGGGCTGAGGTTCTAACTTGAGGCCAGACGGAAACATTTCTTCGAATCGTTGCCTTCACTGCCATTAATAATGTATATCGTCATCACTGCCATGACACAATAAGCTTATGTTGTACCTGCTCCCCGGCTAAGCTTGCAGTGCGGTCCACAGTCTGCTTTTTTGTTTAGATTCATGTATTATCTAAAACCATTCCATTTAAAAAAGAAAAAAAAAGCACTTTCAGTCTGTCGTTTAAGGCTGACTTTTAGAGACAAAAAAGAAAAAGAAAGAAAGAAATCCACAGTTGTTAAAACAATGGGGGGAAAACATGGAATGGAGGACGGAGCAGGTCTCTTTATCAATGGTGTTAGTGGTCTGTTAGAGAAAGGAGAAGAGGGGGACATTGAGAAGTTATTTGCTCGTTGAAGGCTTAAACTGAAGCCTGCGGTGTAGTTTAACGGCTACGCGATCCTCTTGCCAGAACGGATGGATGCTAGGGAACGTTTAAGGTGCGATCCAACAGAGTGCATGTAGAGCGGTAGAAACACTACGATGTTAAATCAAAGATTAAGAACTATTTATTTTTTCAGTTCCCCTCTTAAGGCCAGTATGCATGAATGCCCAAGTGTACCTATGTTTGAAGTATGTATAATGACCCGCTAGTTGCTAACTCGTGACACCATAGTTAAAGTATTTTTTCCGAGTTGATGTACTCTGGTCTAGTTATTGTTAAAACAAAAGTTGTGGCTTCAAGTAGATTTTGCACAAACCCAGAGATGTCAGTTTTGTCTTGTGGATCTCTGGAAGGGGAGGAAGATGAGGAGGAGAGATGGTAGAGATGGTAGAGGGAGGCAAAAAAGGGTGATGGCTGGACATCAAAGAGTTAAAGCAGAACTGAGACGTTTGTACCGTGAGGAATAACTTAAGAGGAGAACCTGGGAGAAGACACTCCTCATATTTAGCTGCTATGGAGGGATTTCCAGCAAGTATGAAACTTTCAAATGGAAAACAACAAAAAAAGAAAAAGACATGCTTCTTTCTCTTGTCTTGTTTTGCTGCTATTTTTGGTTTTGTTTATATGAAATGTCAATACAATGCCATGTAATAGGTTTTAATTTTCTCATAGAAAATTATGATATTATTGACAACTTTGGTTCTTTTGGTAGTTTTTTTTTTTTTTTATGTGATCAATTTTTTGTTAATGTGATTTCTACGCTATGCTATTCCCAAAACAAAGAAACAAACAAAAAAAGACAAAAAAAGCAAAAAAGCAGATGAAAAAATAGTAAAATGTTCCTTTTATACCCACAATACCTCAAACTACAGTCGTGATTTAGCATTGATTTAGTCTGGGATTTTTCTTTAGTGCTATTTTTGTTATTTTATTGTTTTTTGGTTTATACCATGCCTGTTAGTCCTGTTGTCAAATGCAAATGAATATGTTAATCATCATCCTACTGGGTCCTGATGCGAGCGAGTAAAGCACAATGAATGGAATTGGTGCCATAAACTCTTTTGAGTTTTTTTTAGCTTGTTTCATTAAAGGAGACTATATACCCACTTAAGCCTCTACTAGCCCATCTTGATGAGTTTATGAAGCTTTTATTTGAAAAATGACACCGTTATACTGCCATGTGTTCTTACAAAGCCATAGTTTTGTCTTGTAGTAATTCAACACAGTGCAGATATTCATGTATAAGTGGCTGCCCATCTTGTTCTGAAATACAAGAGATGTCCTGGCATGTCCACATCAAGTCATTGTCTTAATAAATGCGATGCAGCTACAATCAGCAGTGGTGTTTCCCTTCATCTTCTTTTTTTTGCATAAACCCATGAAATTTGCATCCTTGTAAAGATCCATATATTCAGTGCTCGTGGGATGTTTTACTTGGTTGGTTGTTTGTTGGTTGGTTAGTTGACTCCCTTTAGCCTTTGACATGGTGCTGCTATATGTTTGCATTGAGTCTAGAAATTATTTGCTGAAAGAGATGCGGCGATAAGCTAGGAATGATGGAAGAGGTGATTCAGGACCCAGGGGACACGGATATATTATCCTCTGTAGTATCAGGAATCTATTTTACCTCAAGGTGGAAACGGAAATACAACCGAATGATGAAAACTAGCATGTATACTGATACACACACCAAGAGTCTGTCATGCAATCGATGAAAAGAGACTGCGGAGGTCCCGAGCTTTTCTCTTGAATGTGTTTAGGGGAAACTGAGAAATGATTGACTGGCATCATCCCATCCCCACACCATAAAAGCTTGGCCTTATGTCTTGATTCTGTTGCAAACAAACCTGTAGTGTCTTTTAGTTCAATATGGTATTCATTCCCAAGGATCACAATGTGTTGATCCTGAAATACAATGTCATGGTTTGATTTTTGTTTTGTTTTATTGTTCACAAACCGGTCACTGGTCTGAAATGCACAATCTTGCTGACCCATCTTAGACATGAGGTTAACTAGAATAAAACTTGAGCTTCAAAAACCACTTGTCTTGCGTGATTTGTATTTCTATTGTGCTGGCACAGCTTATAAAATGTAAAAAAAAATTCTGTCATTTCCTCAACCTCATATTTCAAACATATCTGTTTTTGTGTCAATACAATTACATACCTTCAATGTCTATCCTTTTAAGTCAAAATATGTTGTCATGTTATACTAATAATTTTCTGATTTTAAAAATGCACGGGAAAAAGCATACACAAGAAACACTGAATATTAAGTTACTTTGAGTTAATCTATGGCACATGTAAAACTATAAAATTAAGTGCTTAAATGTGACATACATCAGCAGTTGCTTAGTAAGGCCGTCTTTGTGTCTCATGCCTCCGAAAAAGAGTAACAGGTTGAAAACAGGTTGTTCTTGTTTTTGCTTTAAAACTTTTAGATTCACTAAATATTAATTAAGCAGGAAGTTGAAGATATGGCTGATGTATACAGCTAAAACCGATTCTGAAAATAACAACATTTTCAGAGGAAGTGAATGTTGAACCTTGCTGAGGTGAGAAAGGATTGGTCTGTTGAGTAAATAAACGCTGTTCTCTCATGTATCAAGCAGGTGATACCCTTCTTTTATTGTCAAAGTATTATCTGGCATCCCCAACAGACAGTCTTTGATGGTCTGTTTTGAAACACACTGCAGACAGGCCAGCAAGCATCAGTCAGGAGACTGCAAGAAAGAAAGAACTCATACTATTTCACGCACCTTCGCTACCGACTGAGGTTTGAGATAATACTGTGTCTTTGGCTTTTGGCATTTCAGTGTCTGCGGTTTCAGAGGAAAGAGCAACATTGCTCCCTTCATACACACTGTTCCAAAGGCTAAAGTGCTAAGGTTTGCCTTTCCAAGATCTGACATACAAAAACTGAACTCTGTTCACATGTGAAAAGTGCATATGTATGTCTTGATAAAAAATGATAGAGATAAGTTAAATAACTTCTAAGGTCAGTGTTACAACTTTTCAAACTCTTCAAGGGATGACCCACAAACTATCACCATTCTACTTTTGAGCAAGACAAGTACTGTGCTTTTGATCAAAGTAAGTAGACTTTTGATGTAGGCATAAAGATGATACAGAATTCATAGAGTGGTCCCAATTTTGCATTCAGTAACAAAAAAATAAAAAATAAACCAGATGGCATCAGGAATCAAATTAATCTAGAGATTGTCAAAACTAACTTTTTTTTATTAACCAACTAGTGCCAAGGTGATTTTAGAAGATGTGTTTAATATGGCTCCTGTAGGGTCAAGGTCCTGAAGAATTTTGCTATAACCCTAATTAAACACACCCAAACCAGCTAATCTAGGTCTTCAGGATTACTACAAACTTCTGGTCAGCAAAACTGTGCACTAGAATACAACTCTTTTATCCAAAGCAACTTACATTGCATTCAAGCTATACATTTTATTAGTTTTTGATTTCTCTGGGAACTGAAGACATGCCCTTGGCATAATTAGTGACATGCTCTATTGTTTGAGCTACAGGAAAGCTTATGCATACTATTTTTTACCATATCTTTATATGGCAGAAAGAAGAGTATTATGCTAGTATGTTAATGTGAATTCAGACTCTCAAGTTCAGTCAGGTGTCCAAGCAGAGTAATCACAGGTATAGTTCATTATAACTGTGAACGTGATTCAACATTTGACCACTATGACTGCATCTAAAATCACATACTCTCTGAATAACTTTTTTTTTTGCACAAATAGGTCTAATTATTAGACCACTAAAAAGTACATTTTACGTAGTATAAATATTTGTGGTATGAATGTAATCCAGATGTACTACATTCACATTGAAATGTGACCTACCAGTGATTCACTGCCATTCACAAATCCTCTCCTGTGACATGATGGGATAGTATAGTGTACATTGGATGCACACTTTAGAATCTCGCCGGAAATAGTAGGTCATCCAGAGACTTGCTGCCTACTGTTTTATGAATACTGTGAATTCAGACATATATACTCTGTTCATATAGGCTGTTGTGACAGTTTAGTAGGGTAGTGTGTGATTTCAGATGCAACCAAAGTGCCAAATAATTTTTGTCTTCATTTTAAACAGTATTATTATATTGATAATTAATTTGAAACCTAACAAATTTCTTTTTTTTTCTTTCCAAACCTATATGGAATTTATTTCTTCTGCAGAACACAAAAAAATGTTTTATTTTGACTAATGGTTACTGCTGACTTCCATGTTTGGATGAACAAAAACAAAACAAAACAAAACAAAACTATCCTACAGGCATGGACTGACATGAGGGTGATTATGGGATGACAGAATTTCCATTTTTGTGTGAACTATCTCTTTAAGTCAAAACAGAGTGGTTACAGGTGCCATTGCTAATTGTATTAAACTACATTGTTAATACAGATTAAATATTAAAGGGGTCATGAACTGCCTTTGTTTCATGAACTGCCTTTGTTTTGTTTTTTTGTACTGTTCTCTGAGGTCCACTTATAATGTTATCAATATTTGTATATAAAAAACATCAATTTATAAATTATAATAAGCTATTTTCTGTACTGTTTTGACCCCCTCATCAGAACGATAGGCGTGATGGATTTTAGACTTGGAAGTAAATGCCCACTGCTATGATTAGCTAATAGTTGTGTATGTTTGCCAGCCTACATCCGATCAGAGTGGTTACAGGTGCCATTGCTAATTGTATTAAACTACATTGTTAATACAGATGAAATATTAAAGGGGTCATGAACTGCCTGTTTTGTTTTTTTGTACTGTTCTCTGAGGTCCACTTATAATGTTATCAATATTTGTATATAAAAAACATCAATTTATAAATTATAATAAGCTATTTTCTGTACTGTTTTGACCCCCTCATCAGAACGATAGGCGTGATGGATTTTAGACTTGGAAGTAAATGCCCACTGCTATGATTAGCTAATAGTTGTGTATGTTTGCCAGCCTACATCCGATCCTTCACAGATGGACAATGCAGTGATTTAGGCTAAAAACGCATAAATATTAATCAAACGATCTGTTTAACAGACAAAGCAATAGTGACCATAAAAAAAACACTTGTGTTTCGACATTACTGTCGAATCCAATATAGTCAGCACAGCATCATCTTTCAGTTTCAATGTTTCTGAAAATCCTGCGTCGAATTGTGCCTTGTTTGTAAAATAATCTGCAGTAAAATGAAGTGAACAAAAGACAGAAGCTACGTCCCAAATGACGCACTATACACTATGCACTTATACACTCAATCATGTAGTGTATGAATTATATATGATTATTTTGTCATTCATAATCGGAGTCTGGTAGCTCCTCCCCCTTCGCTTCGTAATTAAAGCTGCGACAGTTGAGTGCATGAAGTGTCCAACATTCCACACTTAATTTTTTCGGTTATTTAAGTGCACTTTTTCTTTTTGGAATTTTCAGTGTGAACACACTACTCGCACTATTTATATATACTACAGAAAGTCATAAAATAGTGCATAAGTACACGATTTGGGACGCACCTCGAGTTCTTACTGACGTGGTCTGGAACTGATCTTCTTCTGCGGAGGCAGTGTTTAGCCACACTATTACGTCATAAAGTGGCACATTCCACAAGCTGTCCTTTTAGCAGACTGGCTTCAAAATAAGCTGTTTTTAGACTAACAAGAAAGTTTGGAGTTCTGAAACTTACAGGATGTTTTTATAGAGACAATAACCTCTCACATGTCGAAAGATCAAGGGAATTTTGCTTTCTCAGTTCATGACCCCTTTAATAAAT